TTGCCGAGAATGATGGTTTCTAGGTTCATCCATGTCTCTACAAAGGACACGAACTCATCACTTTTTATGGCTGCATAGTATTCCATGGTGTATATGTGCCACATTTTTCCTGTCCAGTCTCTCATGGATGGGCATTTGGGTTGGTTCCAGGTCTTTGCTATCGTAAACAGTGCTGCAATGAACATACGTCTGCATGTGTCTTTATGACAGAATGATTGATAAACCTTTGGGTATGTACCCAGTAATGGGATTGCTGGGTCAAATGGAATTTCTATTTCTAGATCCTTGAGGAATCGCCACACTGTCTTCCACAATGGTTGAACTAATTTACACTCCCACTAACAGTGTGAAAGTGTTCCTTTTTCTCCAAATCCTCTCTAGCATCTGTTGGCTCCAGATTTTTTAAGGATGCCTGCTCTCACCACTCCTATTCAATATAGTATTGGAAGATCTAGCCAGAGCAATTAGGCAAGAAAAAGAAATAAAGGGCATTCAAATAGGAAAAGAAGAAGTCAAACTGTCCCTATTTGCAGATGACATGATCGTATACTTAGAAGACCACATCATCTCAGCCCAAAACCTCCTTAAGCTGATAAGCAACTTTGGCAAAGTCTCAGGATACAAAATCAATGTGCAAAAATCACAAGCATTTCTATATACCAATAACAGACTGAAAGAGAGCCAAATCAAGACGAACTCCTATATACAACTGCTACAAAGAGAATAAAATATCTAGGAATACAACTAACAAAGGAGGCAAAAGATGTCTTCAAGGAGAACTACAAACCACTGCTCAAGGAAATAAGGGAGGACACAAACAGATGGAAAAACATCCCATGCTCATGGTTAGGAAGAATCAGTATTGTGAAAATGGCCATACTCCCAAAGTAATTTATAGATTCAATGCTATTCTCATCAAGCTACCATTGACCTTCTTCACAGAACTGGAAAAAACCACTTTAAATTTCATATGGAACCAAAAGAGAGCCCACATAGCCAAGACAATCCTAAGCAAAAAGAATAAAGCTGGAGGCATCACACTACCTGACTTCAAACTATACTACAAGGCTACAGTAATCAAAACAGCATGGTACTGGTACCAAAACAGAGATATAGACCAATGGAACAGAACAGAGGCCTTGGAAGCAACGCCACACATCTACAACCATCTGATCTTTGACAAACTGGACACAAATAAGCAATGGGGAAAGGATTCCCTGTTTAATAAATGGTGTTGGGAAAACTGGCTAGCCATATGCAGGAAGCTGAAACTGGACCCCTTCCTTATACCTTATACAAAAATTAACTCCAGACGAATTAAAGATTTAAACATAAGAATTAACACCATAAAAACCCTACGAGAAAACCTAGGCAAAACCATTCAGGACACAGGCACAGGCAAGGATTTCATGACTAAAACACCAAAAGCAATGGCAACAAAAGCCAAAATAGACAAATGGGATGTAATTAAACTTAAGAGCTTCTGCACAGCAAAAGAAACAATCATTAGAGTAAACCGGCCACCAACAGAATGGGAAAAAATTTTTGCAATCTACCCATCAGACAAAGGGCTAATATCCAGAATCTACAAAGAACTAAAGCAGATTTACAGGAAAAAAACAAACAAACCCATTCAAAAGTGGGCGAAGGATATGAATAGACACTTTTCAAAAGAAGACAAATATGTGGCCAACAAACATATGAAAAAATGCTCATCATCATTGGTCATTAGAGAAATGCAAATCAAAACCAAATTGAGAAACCATCTCACGCCAGTTAGAATGGCGATCATTTCCCTTCTTTACAAAACTGTAACACCTAAAGCCAAGCGAGGGTGCCAGCCTGGCATTTCAATGGCTTTGTTAGTTCTCATAATGCTGGTTGCAAGCAAGCCAGGCTGTGAAGTTCTTTATTAACTCTGCAAAGAGAAATGAGAACACCGTCCTTACTCACCGATGTCATTGCTGCGGTCCGAGAGATCTTTGTCCAGGATGCCAGAAAGTGAACTGCCCACCAAGTCAATCTTTGGACTGTCACCCCTACATTAAAAACAGAAGCCCAGAGATTTAATAATTGGTGTGTGTCCTTGTCATTCTGTCAGCTTTCTTGCTGCACACACATGAAGGAGTGTGCTGCGTGTGGAGTGGGTGGCACTGTTGCCTGTGAGGGAGCCGGAGAACCAACAAGCTGACTGGCCACATGGGATGGGGTGCAGACCAGCTGACAGGCTGGATCTGCCCCCTCTCCAGCACAAGTCTTCAAAGATGGCTATTTTAATAATGACTTTTCACCAATGCACCTCCAGCCACAAACCCTCCTGCAGGGTACACCGGGTGCAGTGTAGGGCCTGCTCCTGCCCTGTGGCCAAATAAACACTGGCTAATGATAACTGGGAGCTTTCTTTTTAAGGAACAAGGAATTTAGCCAATGCTGCTTGTCAAAGGTCAGCTACTTTTAACCTTGAGAAAAAGGTTTTCTGGCCTGGGGCTGTGGCATCAGCCAGGCTGTTGACAGGCGCAAGGTGTCGAGTTGAGAGCTGGCGGCCTGAATGCTGGTGCTGGGGCTCAAGCCTGTAACATCAGACGGCTCCTGGATGGGTGCCCCATGTTCATCAGGACACGAGTGACTTCCCTCTGTATCTGGGCTAGGAGTAGGTCTTTGGGATGAGAACAGGCCTCCAAGATGATGAGAGAAACCCAGCCTTCTCGTGCACAAACAGAAGGTTCCTCCAAACTCCTCCACAAGACAGCTCTTCGGGCCCTTTTGGGGGGATGAGTCACAAACGAGTTTATCCAAGGGCTATGAGAACAGTGAAACAGGAAAAGATCCTTGCCCATAAAATGAGAGAGAGAATCTGAGTAGTTGTTCCCAGCAAAGTAACAGAAATAGTCCAACTCACAGCCCCTGAAGGCCACTGTAGCCTGAAGTTACACCTCACAATGAGTAGTAACAGATTTAGTCAGCAGGCACTTGTCATGTACCACTTGCACTGGGGGTATTCAGAGGTGGAGCCTACTCGGGAAGGGCTCATGGTCTAAATGGGAGAGACAGCCAGCCAACCACAGGTTCACATGGCCTAGGCTGTAAGAGGCAGGTGTCACAGTCCTATAAGGAGAAAGGACTGGGTCAGTGCAAGATCTGTGAGGCAGAGGGTAGGCGGGCACACAGAGGAGGTGGCATTACACTTGAGCCTTGGAGGAAAAGGGAGAGAGGACATATTCCTAAGAGGTGTGATTGAGCAACAACCCCAACGTAGGTGAGAGTGCCAGTGTGGCCAAGGCTCCCAGGACCAAAGCCTGAAGTTTTCAGACAGAAGTGACAGGACAAAGGCTGGCAAGGTTGGTGAACACCTAACTGCTGGGCTGGATACTACAGGGCTTGGTTTACCTGGGAGGTAATGAGGGGCCGAGGGACAGTTATAGCAGGAGACCTGTATACCTGGAGGTCAGGTCAGGGCAGGTGCTGTGGGTGAACTCCAAACCAGGCAGCTGACAGGGGAGACTGCTGGGTTTTTCACTCAAGAATGGTAGTGAGCAGGGCATGGTGGCTCATGTCTGTAATCCCAACACTTTGGGAGGCCAAGACGGGAGCATCACTTGAGCCCAGGAATTTGGGACCAGCCTGGACAACATGGTGAAACCCTGTCTCTACTAAAAATATAAAAATTAGCCTGGTGTGCTGGTGGGCACCTGTGGTCCCAGCTACCTGGGAGGCTGAGACAGGAAGATCACCTGAGCCCAGGGAAGTTGAGGCTTCAGTGAGCTGTGATTGCGCCACTGCATTCCAGCCTGGGTGACAGAGTGAGATCCTATCTCAAAAAAGGGGGTGTTGGTGGCACATGCAGCACAACATCTATATTTTTGTGATGGTAGAAAAGGACCAACGGAAGGAGGTGAGTCCTCAATTCCCAAGCGAACAACACTGCCTCTTCCATCCTCAAGCATCCTTCACCAGAGGAGGGGCAGAGGTAAGAATACCAGGGACCAGGCCTGGGCCTGATGGCTTGGCCTCCACTAGAAAATATAGCTCCAAGACTGTCCTGGGAGTATGCATTATGATGTTGGCTGTGCCCTTTTGAGCTAGGCTGAAATAGAAGTTCAGGTAGAGCATGAACTCCTGTACTTGGAAAGGAGAAGCAGCTTAGGCTTCAGAGAAGGACCTTTATTTCCTGCCTCACCCTAACTTCCTAAGGCTGTGGGCTCCCCCAGGCCAGGTTTCCATAGCAGACTCCTTTCTCCATCCCCTGGCTACCCAAGCTTGGGCCCTGCAGGGCCACTGCCTCTGATAGATCCTGAGCCAACAGGAAGGGCAAGATGAAGGACATTTATTTCAAAATATTTCAGGGCCCCAGCACCCACAAATTTGAAGGTAACCTGAATAAAATGTTTCAGAAATGCAGAATTATTAGCAGAAATGTGTTTTCATTTTCAAGAGTCTTCTTTTCCCCAGATATAAAGAAATACGCTCCTGGGGACCCTTAAATATCATTATTTGGAACCCACAGAGCCCGGAAGGATTGGGTGCTGCCATCCTTCAAAATAACAGACTAAACACAAATTATACTCACAGCCAGACAGAGCTGTCCTTTTTGGAACACACCAAGGACCAAAACTTATAAGAACACATGTCCTGCCCAGGAGAGAGAACACTCAGGCAGTGAGTCTAGTGAACTCTATTGGGGATTTTTTTTTCCAATCAAGAGGGAAAGATGGTTTGAGGTGACACCCACCCTGTGGGCAGCTGGGATTAAGTCAGAGGGGCTGCTGATGGAGAGATGAAGTTTTGCTCATGAGTTAATCACATGTATCTCAGAACAACTCAGCAGTTTCTGAACATGTGGCTTATTTGTGCATTATGGTTTGTCAATCTGGGAGCTGCTGTTTCCCTCTGTGATTTGACAGCTGGAAGCTTCCAGTCAAATGTGAGCCTGTCTGCAGAAACGGTAGAGGACCCTATTGTGCATTACTGTGCTCGTCTCACCTGGGGCTTTATTACTTTACTGCCCTTATTTTCCTTTTATTGTCATTCTCAACTCTTTTATTCTTTTATATGTTAAAAAAATTTTTTTTTTTATATTGTCTCATTCTGTTGCCCAGGCTGGAGTGCAGTGATGCGATCTCAGCTCATTGCAACATCCACTTCCCAAATGGGTTTTATGAAATAGTATTTTTTTGCAGTGTTATCTGTAATGCAGACAAACTGAAAAGAACTGGAATTTTTCATAAACAGGAAAATACTTGAATAAACCATGATATTTGATGGACTTTTATACAGCCATGTGAACGATATTTATAAATGTCTTATACTAACAAGAACGAATGCTTATGTTGCAATGGTAAGGGACAAAGGCAAGTTCAAAACAACACACACAGCAGCACACATACACCCATGTGCCCTCCTGACATATTAGGAAGAGCGATTTTAAGACTGAAAGAATATTTACAGGGGTTACTCCTGGGTAGTCTGATGGGTAATTTCTACCACCCAGCTTAGCAGCTGGAACATGGCAGGGGCTCAGAAAACATCTGTGGAACTAGAGAACATTTGCCAGATTTTCTGAAATGGGAATGTATTATGTATTTGTACAATAAATACACTTTTTCCCTCAATACCTATTGTATGCTGTTCAAGATGATTACATCTATGGGAAAACTGGTAGAAAACAAACCAAATCATACATACGAAAAAGATAAGATTCATATTCTCTCTCTCTCTCTCTTTCTTTCTTTTCCTGAGATGGATTCTTATTCTGTCACCCAGGCTAGAGTGTAGTGGCACAATCTCGGCTCACTGCAACCAACCTCTGCCTCCTGGATTTCAGTGGTTCTCCTGTCTCAGCCTCTTGAGTAGCTGGGATTACAGGCATGGGCCACCACATCTGGCTACTTTTTATATAGAGACAGGGTCTCACAATGTTGGCCAGGCTGGTCTTGAACTCCTGACCTCAAGTGATCCGGTCGCCTCGGCCTCCCAAAGTGCTAGGATTATAGGCGTTAGCCACCGTGCCCGGCCTAAAGTTTACTTTTAATAATATTGACTAGAGACTCATCTAATTCAGGCAGCTTATGTTCTCTCTCCTTTCCCACCAATAGTATCATCAAGGTAAAAGCTGAGATTGCCTGGGTCCTGCCTCACAAACTCTCCTTTAAGAATCACCCAGGCAGTAGGTGCCCCACGAGGCCATCTCTCCTGGGAACTGATTTGTGGGGCAGGGATGGAGTTGTGAATCCTAGACTTAAAAATCCAGGCCAGGTGTGCTATATCTAAACCTGCTGTTCATCACCTATGTGACTTTGGCCAGGTTACTGAACCTCTCTGGAATTTGGGTGCTTCATCAACAAAACAACTGGTGAGCTAGCTTGAACAGGATCACCTCTGAGAGGCATTCTAGAGCTCTCATTCCATAATTTCGACATTATAGAAATGTTAGAGTCTGGGGTGGGGTTGGGGTGGAGATGGTCCTATGAGTTGTGGGCAAATTCTGGGACATTTCATCATCTCCTTTGCCTCCAGATCTTCATGTCTCTGGTCAATGTTGGGAATTCCTTCCCTTCCCACTTGACTTGAGCAAATGTAACTCATCCTTTTAGAGATTCCACCTCTCTTCCTCGTGTTTCCTGTATCACACCCCTGTATCCCAACTCTTATCACAGCATTTCATATTTACATATGTACCTAGTAATCTTCCCCACTTATTCCTCAGAATGGCATTATGTTAGATTTTTTTCCTCCTAGTATAATGCGTTATACATGTATGTGTGCCACAAAGCTTTTGTTTAACTAAATGAATAAGCTAACATTGTGATATTTCTGGGCCTTGTACACTTCAGGAAATAACCTGTGGATAAATTATATTCTTGATACAGTGTGGGTGGCTTATAAACAACAGAAATTTATTTCTCACAGTTCTGGAGGTGGGGAAGTCCAAGGTCAAGGTGCTGGCAGATTCTATGTCTGGTGAGGGCCCAGCTTCCTGATTCACAGAAGACACCTTGCTGTGCCCTCACGTGGTAGAAGGGAGAGGGGTTTCTTTTATAAA